GATCCCACCATGTGCTATCTGCAGCATCAGTCCAGGTACCAGGTGTTGTAGTTGTCGGTGTTGCTCTGGCGCAAAAGTAGCGCCAATCGCGGAGTTACCAGGGTTGCCTTGTAGCGACTGTAGAAGAGAGGGTCTTCGTCCTCCTTCCATCCCACTGGTACGAAGTGTTGATTGTCATGCGGCGGGCTTTCCCGCAAAGTGATTGGCAGGTTCCAATCCTGCTCGTCTTCGTCATACTGGTAATAGTAATTTTCAGTGAGGGGATTATTCCATCCCTCTTCAGGTTCAAGGAGTCTTCCTTGAATCTCGTCTTCCTCGTCAGGTTCGTCAGAGCGACGTCGGCGCGTCGTCATGTTCGCGATGATGTTTCTGGGGGCTCCTGATGGAGGTCCTTGAGATCCTTGCTGATGTTGGTGTTGCGCAGGGAACCGGGCTTGTTGATGCTGAGGTTGAGAATGACGAGCTTCTTGTCGGCCGACCCAGTTGTTGTGGTGAGTGGAATTTGGGTGGCGTATGTTGGATCGGGACTTGCATCGATCCGTTGAGTGTCCGAAGACCTTGCATATTTTGCAATAATGGCGCCTTGGTTGTCGTCGCTCTTCACGGTTGTCTGTGTAGAAGGCGAGGCGCTCTCGGCGCGGCGCGGAGCTTGTTCTGCTCGAGTCCATGTCCTGCTGTTCGGACAGGAGTGCGGCGCATAGCGCGGCTTCTGAAATTGTTTCTCGCTGTCGGAGTAACGCCTTACAGGGCTTCCACTCAGGCCCGAGTCCTTGGAGGACTATATTGACGAAGATCTCTTCCGAGATCGTACTCCCATGCTTCGTGATCTGGTCACGGATGTTACGACAGCGGTTGATATAAGGATTCGCTTTCTCCCCGTGCCCCATTTTTATCTCCAGGAGTTGCTGCAGAAGCCTGCTGGCGGTGACCGAATCCTTCGGCTGATAAACTTCAACGAGGTGCTTCCAGGCTTCCAAGGCTGGAGCGTCGCTCTCTTTGTAGGAGCGGATGTTGAGTTGTTCCGCAGGCGTCATATTGCGTAGCAGCACACTGTAGGCCATGAGGGACTCACTGTAGTATTGAGCCCTGGCGACTTCGGTGTTTTCCACCGGTTTAGGATAGGAGCCGTCGAAGTAATGGTAGATCTGCGCCGTTTGTAGGAGGAGCTCAAGCTCGAAACTCCATGTGTAGAAGTCCTTGCCGTCAAACGCGGCAGTGGTTTTGATTTTTTAAACGCTAAGAAAGCGAGTTTGCGCAGAGTTGATGGCTTCATCACTTGGACGGGGGGCAGTAGTTGTTGATTTGTCTGTGTCGAGGGAGAAGGTATGCGCGGCGGTATCACGGCTTTTCTCAGCCGGTTGTCCAGGTTGAACTGGTTGGGAAGAGGTTCCCGCATCGCCTTTGCGCAGGTCTTGGAGTTCTTTCTCCATAGTTGAAAGTCGAGCGAAAAGTTGCTCGAGGGCGGCAGTGCCAATTGTGGTTGTCGCCTCATTTGTCGCAGCCGGATTGGATTGTCCTTCAGCCGTCAGATTTGCTTGGCCTCCGGATCCTCCGGCCATCTTGGTCTTGGAGCGTGTGCCGCTCGCCAGATCTTGGTTCGACGAATTTCACGGAAGTGAAGTTGCGAAGAATCCCTGAGTAGCTCTCATACCATGTTACAATCCCAAGTGGGACTTAGCGAAGGATCGCTCAGGGTTGATCGCAGTGTAGTGTTGCAGCGGAAGTTTGAATCTCAGGTCAGAGTGAATGTAAATGACTGAGTTGATAATAGCATGCATACATCGGGTTTATATAAGAATACAGGGGAATACGAAAAGACCTAGACTGGCCATGTACTCTAAGGGGTACATTCCCTTATTACAACCGAATTCAAACCGTGCGACGCGAGAACCCGTTTCAAACCTGTTCCCGCTCTTTTCACTTCAAATGTTTCTGCCAGCATCGGTCTTGGTCAGGCGGTTGCTGCGTCGCTTCGACTCTTCTGACTCCTCGACTTCGTACTCGGTAGAGTCGGCTCCTGCAGCATACAGGAATGCCTTCTCATGAAACTTCATATCGTAACACTGTTGGCGGGGACAGTGGTGTACGCGCTGAGTAGGGACGCGAAGTAAGGAAAGGAATTTTCCTTGCAATAATCAAGAAACTCATACAAATCAGCTCTTTCACCATCTCAGACAAGCTCATGGTAACGGGATTGTAAGGGTGTTACATTACCCTTCTATCGAAGCACGGATTAGAGCCTTAGCCTTGGTGGTGTGAGTCGAGCCACGTGTACGGCATCGAAATACTCCAAGCTCATAGGAGCTGGGCGCGATCACTCCCCCTAATGTACTGTATGTGCTCATGTGGCGAACCGTGTGTGGTTCTGGCGCATCAGACCTCAGTTGTAATGTCGGTTCGGAGTGTCTTGACCGCTGGATCTTCTCCTCCACAGTCAAGTCCCGCCCAGCCACACCCTCCCACCTCTCGCATTTCCACCATAACAAATTAGGATTTCCAGGATAATGATGGGGTTTCCGGGCTGGAGCACCAGGCGAAATGGGGACACCTGCTGTGCATAGCCCGTAAACCCACATCACTAGCCTTGGCCAGGATACGAGCTTACCTAAGCGACACTGCATTTGCACACCTCTGAAAATGGAGATGCTCACACCAGAGCCCTCTCCTCCCATGAACTAGATTCGGGGTAAGATCACACCTTTTCAAGCCTTTCAACACCGAGAACCTGCGAAAAGCTTGCTTGTTTCGGACGAAGATGAAACAAAGGTCACGTGTCCAAAACATCGGATTGTCTCGCAAGTTGAGTTGGGTGAGTTACCCTCACCTTCCATTAGGAGGGCTGTTTTGGCTCCAATTCCTTTTCTTCGCGGAATCTCCAGTCTCAGCGGAAGCCTTGCCCCACACACTCTTGCATTGGCTGGATAAGAGCCGCGAGAGTCACAACGACTGGTTTAGTTTTCAAAAGAGCCGACTTCAATCCGAGTGTCTGCTCTCGTCCCCGCTTTTGTTCGTCGAATCGTTGCTCCACCACGCTAAGTCGGTTATCATGGCTTCCCAAGATGGTGCCCAGGAGGCCCCGAAGCTAACGATTTGCGTGGGCGACATTCACGGACATTACGTGCGATTAGTGAATCTGTGGAAGCGGCTGGAAGCGAAGGCAGGCGACGACTTCGCAACGTGCACGGTGATTTTCCTCGGCGACTTCAACGACCGTGGGCCGCGCACCAAGGACGTCATCGAGTGGCTCGTCGGTCTGCCGGAGCGCTACCCGCAGCAGAAGCACGTCTTTCTGGCCGGCAACCACGACTTTTCCTTCGCGTCGTTCATCGGCGCGCTGCCTCGCTTCCAACCGCCTTCGGGGTTCAAGTTCTCAGAGACGTGGCGAGGCGCGGAGAAGGACGAGGAGCGCGAGGGATGGTGGAAGGGCGACGACATGGAGAACGTGCACCTGCAGGTACGACGCGCATCGTCGATTAGTTTGATATGCCTTCCACCCCATGCACTTTACACGTCCGTGAGTGCTCTGTATGCACGTGCGGGACCATCGCCATACCAACCTCGACTCTCTATCTGCCCTGCGCTCACACTTCGTTCAAAATTTTCGTTCTTCCCTCCTCGTGACTGCGCGAGTGCAGGGTCGCAGGTGGGCGGGTACGATCAAGGACCGCATCAGCAAGAAGGGGAAGCCTTACGACGGCTCCACGTACGACGCGGGCGCCACTTTCCGCTCGTACGGCGCGGAATTCGGCAACCGCGAAGCGCTCATCGCTGCAGTGCCGGAGTCGCACAAGGAGTTTCTACGCAACCTCTCCTGGATTTACGAGCAGGTAAGCGCGCCTTGCTCTCGCGATAACATCACATGAACAGTGCACAAGATATCGCCACTGACCGATCCTTCTGACAACTAACGCCCGTTGATATCCCCTCGTTCCCCCTCGCCGCCATGCTCTCTCCGGCCGATACCTATTGTGGCAGCCCGGCGTGGACACGGGCGACGCGGCGACGAGCTACAGCAGGCTGATCGCGGTGCACGCGGGGTTCGACAAGGACCGGCCGCTGGGCGAGCAGATCGAGGAGCTCCGGCGCCGGCAGCCCGTGGCCAGCAGATACGAGGCGCTCAGCGGACGCAAGAACGTGTGGGACAATCCCGAGGTGAGAACGGGCAGATAACGCAACGATGGATGTCAGGGACGAGGGCTGAAACCTTCTGAATGTGGTCGCCGAGCGCCGATAGGATTCCGTGCTTCAAAGAACTCTGCAAGCACGAAATTCTTGAGGTTTTGGTCTTGGGTCGAATTCAGCATGGCTAACTTGATTTCAACGCGAACTCAAGCTGTCATCTGACGAATCCCCTTCCTGTGTGACGTATGCAGGAGCTGGAGAAGGACAATGTGTTGGTGGTGAGTGGGCACCATGGCGTGCTAGACACATCACGGCGCCTGCGACTGATCATAGACGAGGCGGGTGGGCTGGACGCTCCCATTGCTGCCATGCTGCTGCCATCCCGGGAGATCATCAGAGACACTGACCCGCTGCCCGGCTCTGAAGATGTCGTGGCTCAAATGACTGAGGTAGTAGAAGCAGCAGCTATGACACAGGAGGAGTCTGCACGTGAACTGGAGCCTGTAGCTGCATAGACCAAGGTGGTTTACACGGAATTGAAGTGGAGGGGGCTGTTGAATTGGAACCGTTTGTAAAAAAAAAGGCTGTAAGACTAAATACTATAAGCCTTATAAAACGTTACATGTTCAGGATATGGTGTTATAATGTCACTTTCCGATTGCAAACGTGCATCATTTGTAGCCAAATGTAGCCAGAAAAAAGACAACCAAAGCCAACTGCTTGGAAACATAAACTAAACTATAACATCACCAATTTGCGGCGATTATTCCAAAACTGAAGACCAAAACAAGCTGCAAGAAACAATGCAAAAAGCCAGCAAACCAGCACACTGCTTTGGTTCTAAACGAAGATGAAGCTCTGGGGTTCCCAGTGCTGCGTTACTCAAAACACACTTCATTGCCAGCATCGCTGTGAAACAGGGAGGGAGGGGTCAGAACTTGGTTAAGGCTCCAACAATGAGATACTGATATTGTGCAACTGAAAGTGTAACGTACCTCACTCTAGTGGCTCTTGCATTGCAGTCGCCCCATGAGGAACAATGACACTGCATGAGCCACCAGTACCAGGGGAGCTATCCCACATGAGGTTGTCCCTCAGAGGGTCCGAGTACATATCCACAGAACGGGCCACAATCAGCCGTCCATTCAGCACACCTTCCCCCAGCGTGTATCTGGTTCCTAGATCTGACGCTCTCGGTGCTCCTGATGCTCCTGATGCCAAAGCTGCCGGACCTGCACCCATTGATGTCGCAGCAGGTGGTGGTTTGCCGAGCGGCCTCCTCGAACTAATACTAGCAGCAATTCCTCCTTTTCCTGAAACTGATGTGGCTGCAGCAGGTGCTGCAGTGGACACTGCTGGCCTTGCTGCTGCTGCAGCAGCTAGCTTCTGCCACGTGTTGGCCCCATGGGATGATGGGGCAGCAGCAGCAGGTGTTACTGATGCCGACTGGTTGACCCGGGGGAACGAAACAGGAGAGGAGGATGAGGATGGGCGAGTGCTGTTGGAGGGGAGGAAGGAGGCGTGGAAAGGAGGAGGGGAAGGAGTGGTGGTCCCAGTGGGAGGGGAGGCAGATAGTAGGGAGGACCCCGAGAAGAAGTTGGCCGACAGGGCGAAATGCGAGGGGTCACGGGAAGCTGCAATGGGGGAGGCAGGCAGAGAGAAACATACAAAAGAGATAGTTATCAGTGGTGAAGCCAGAGGGGGCGGAAGCTGAGGCTGATGGAGGAAACCGGGTGAGACGCAGCAATCAGGACTTGGTGAGTGTGGAGTATGTATCGAGTAAAGAAGGGACGAACCTTGGTTACGGTTGGGCTGTTGTGGCACTTTAACATGTCCACACACAGCAGCAAATGACCCATCCTCCTCGTCCTCATCCTTCGCCTCTGCTACTTTACCTGTTCCCACCCCCAAGCCTGCAGGCACCACGGGTGCAACCCTTCTTCCCACCTGCTGCTGCTCCTGCACTGGAATCACAACTGCTGCCTTTCCTGCTGCCATACCAGTCACGCGTGCTGGCACTGCCAACGCACCAGTAGTGGCAGACACAGCAGGAATAGAAACGGCAGCAGTAGCTGTGGCAGCAGGGATTCTCTGAGTCTTGTGTCCAGCTCCCACGCCTGGTGCTGCTGCCATTGCTTGTGCGCCCAGTGGTGGCTTCTTCTGAGACCCAGACACTCCACTGAACCCTCTGGCGGCCGCATCAGCTGCTGCCACTCCATTGCCCATACTGCTGCATGCAGCAGGTCCAGTCGTAGAGGCAGTAGCAGTGGTGCATTTGCGTAGAGCAAAGCCGGCACTGGGTGAAGACGATGGCACTGTTGACATGTTAGGAGAAGGACCTGAAGTTAACACAGATGGTAGTACAAGGGTGAGATTTGGGAGGTGAAAGGGGAGAGGAAAGGGCGGGAGATAAGGGCAATGGTATTGGCATGATAAATCACACCAGCATCACCATACTGCATCAGATTTTCCTGCACCTGATGGTGTTGGCACGGAGCGAGGATGCCCGAGAGATGGCGACACGCCTTTGCCTCCTGAGTGTCCATGTGCTGCAGCAGCACCAGCGGTACTCGCGCTGGGAGCACCACACGGACTGTCAGCACCAGCCCCACTGGCAGCACCAGCAGCAGTGCTGTCACGTGCATTGATTGCAGCAGTGGAAAGGGCAGGGAGGGCAGCAGGAGTGTGTGCAGCCGACCGAGAGGCGGATGCGCGTGAATCCACTGCCGCAGGAGCAGGTGCAGGCGAAATGGTGGAAGGAGCAACAACAGCAGCAGCAGGCGTAGAAGCAACAGCAGAAACAGTAGCGGCAGCAGCAGCTGCTGCAGACACACTAGGAGGAATCACAGTAGCAGTAGCGGCAGCAGAACAAGCTGCAGGTGGTGTTGGTGGTGGAGGTGATGGTTGCGGTGGTGGCGGTGGTGGGGTTGGTGTGGGTGGTGGTGGTGCAGGTGGTGGCGCGGGAGAGACGGAAGCAGAGGAGGCATGAGCCTGGCCCCAGCGCTGCCACCAGCCAGAGGACGAGAGGTCAAGGCACGTGGTGGAGGTGAGGGAGGAGAAGAGCTGCGCTGTGTCTGCGGGCAGGGAAGATGCGTCAAACATGCCCTGCACGAGCAGCTTCTGGAAGTTCTTGACTGCTTGGAGAAACGTCTTGCTGCGGAACATGCTCTCCACACTGGTGGGGGGAAACGGAGACGCAAAGGTAAAGGGGATGGAAAGAGCACCATAGTGAGGCCACGAGTGGAAGGACAAATACAGCAGAAGAGCAGTGAAGGGTATACTGAGGAAATAATTGAACGACACGTCTGTGCTACATTCTTGTGACATACCATACCATACCATGCCATGCCATGCATTCACAGCACTGCTATGTGCCCCTGCTGCATTCACCTGGCGGAGCCATTGGCAGTGTCGACAGCAGGCAGCATGGCAACGAGCTGACTCTTTTGTGCGTGGTCCATGCAGCGGTAGAGACTGGACGCGTTCACTATGTCCTGTCCAAGAAGCAAGACGGATGGACAAGAAACCGATTAGAGGAAATTACTGCTGAAACGGGTCGAAAAATGGGCAGGCAGACAAAGAGAGAGAAAGAGAAACTGTAACAAAGGAGAAATCTGAGCGAGCAAGAAAGTGAGACTCACTGTGAGGTTCACTGAGCAAAGAGGAGAGTGTGGCGAGTAGAGGAGGAAATCGTCAGACACGATACCAGCAGCCCTGTGTGAGGGAGGGAAGAGGGAGAGGCATAACAGAGGCAAGCTCAACCGACTCGAAGAAACATGACGTTGCATCTTTCATGGGTAGCATATTGAGAGTGGAGTGCTGATGACGAGAAAGAGATTTCGGAAAGAAAGGGAGAGTGCCGTACTCTGCCAAAGTCGCAACTGCCGCATGCTCTCTGCCTCCCACGCCAACTCCCCCACCGTGCTTTCTCGCCCCCATCATCCCACCCTTGTCCACATCTCCCTCTCCCATCCCTGCCCTCGCCATTCCACCCGTCCTCCCCCCAGCCCTCCATATGCTGCCATCGCTGGCGACTCGATGCATGCCCACTCGCTCCCCCCTTCCCTCCCCCACCTCGTCCTCCCGCGTACCCTTCCCCACCACGGCGCCAGCACCAGCAGCACCGGAGGGGGTAGTGAGTGCGCGATAGTGAGGCGAGGGCATGGTGAGAAGCACAAGGTCCCGGTGACCACTGGGCACATGCTGTAGTAGCTCCAGTTGCCTATCCTCGTCACCTTCCTCCTCCTCTTCTTCTCCCTCCTCCCCTGCTCTCTTCTCCTCCTCAACCTCAACTACATCTTCCTCCCCTCCCCCAGCCTCATCGTCTCCCCCTTCTTCTATCCACACCTCTCTCATCCCTTCCTGTCCCCTCCTCCCTCCTCCTCCATCCATCAGCAAATCGTCTTCCTCATTCCATTGCACTCCCGCATCCACGTCCATGTCCCCCTCTCTCTTCACCCCTTTTTCCCCACGCGCGTGCGCGCCTTGCTCGCGCCACGAGCCCTCCTTCCCCCCTCCGCTACCCGCACTGTGCCTCATCCGCAGCGTGGTGAGGTCCGCCTCTGATTGGCTGCGCGGCCGCATGCCACTGCCGGACCCCGCGCCATACAGGGATGCAGAGGACTGCCGACCTCCTCCTCCAAGAGACCTGCGCTTGGGTGGAATGGGCACGCCTGGGAGAGAGTGGGTCGAAGGAAAAGTGGGTGGTGGGAGACAGGGATTAGCCCATCACATACCACATGATGCCACATGTGAGAACCATCACATGGTTTATATGCCAGACCATGCCAGGGTTGCTTGTGCATCTTATCGACAACACTGACACAGTGGACCCTGCACACCTTGCAACCGGTCAGAAGCCACCACACTTCCATCGTCCTCCATTCGCATCACATCCTCGCTTCCCTCTCGTCCACTCCCTCCACTGTGTGCCCAGCCTTTCCTTGCTCCACTGTTGTCCCCTCCTCCGCTCCTCTCCATGTCCTTCTCATCGTCGTCATCGTCGTCGCCCCACACCATGTCTAACTCCATCTCATCATCCCATCTTTCATTCGCCCCTCTACCCAATCCCGTATCACTCTGCCCATCCATCCCACACCCGCCGACGTTCCCGCTCCTCTCCCCACCGCGCACCCCTCCACGTGCCCTCTGCCAGCCCTTCCGCTTAACTCCAGGTCCCCCTCCACGAAGCCCTCTCCCCATTCGCGCGCCACTCCCTTGCGCCGTCCCCCCCGCCCCCTTCTCCGCTAGCCACGCATCTGCACCCTTCTGCGCCTCCGCTCCGCCGTCCTCTTCGCCGTCCGTTCGTTTACCGTTGGCAGCGCTTGGGCACTGCGAATGCGGGTGTTGGCGCGCGCCGGGATTTTTGAGGCGCCACTTGGTGGCTGCGGCAGAGGAGAGCCCAAGCCCGCCCGCGTGCAGCGGCATGTAGTTGACCAGTGTTCCGCGCGTGCGCCACCGCGAGCCGCACGCGTTGCAGAGAACGGGCTTCTCAGGGGGACCATTCCGCCACAATGGAGTGACTGGCGCGTCGGCGCAGTAGGGGAGAGCGAGACGCGGCCCACGAACGGGGAGAGAGTTGGGGGAGAGAGTCGTGTAAAGAATGAGGAGAATTGATTAGTATTCAACGAGATGAGAAGTCGACTCGGAAGCAGCGCAAGAAGCGCAAGAATCCTTTCTTGAGGTGAAGGAGAGCGGGATGACCAGGGATTTGCCACGACAACCCCATCCGCGCAGCTTCCAAAGGAGAACCGTCGTCTAAACAAAAGAAGTTTGAGGTCCCAAATGGACAGTGAACTAAAGGATGGATGGAAGCACAACTGAGGGTCCAAGAGGTGAAGAGGGTTAAACCCACCAGCCACGCCGCAGTGGTTGCATGGCCCTTGCTTCCCCATGCTTCACGCAGAGAATTTTGCTGCGTTTCACGTGGTTCGTCAGACAGCGAGTTCAGAACAATCGCACGAAGTCTAAAAGACTGGCTCTCGAGCGGCTGCTTCTGGGCCTGCTCCTGCTGCTGCGGTGGCGATTCGCGCCACGTCTTGTATCCCATCATGCTCGCGAGAGGCCATGAGCGTACACAGGCGACATGGTAAGCATTCTTGGAAACAGGCGAAGCAGAACGAATGACTTGGGTGAGGACGGGTTGCGCAAGCACCATAACCCCTACGCCACCGCCATTCTTCTGTGTGGCTATCCTTCTTGGTTTCTCCTCGAGTTCTGCTTCGCCTCCTTCGAATTCGCCCCCTGTGCCGCCTCTCGAAGTGTGCTGCGGAACACCTTCAGCATGCTGGTCACACACATAGCACAGCAGTGGTCCACCTTCCAACCCGCTCGTTTTCCCAAACCCCATGAGAGAAAGCGACGCGACGCCACGAAGAATAAACAATCACGCTGCCGCTGACGCAAAATTTCCCAAAATGGGTACACCCCATCTTGTTTGGTTCGGATGGAGAGTCGAGTGACTTGTTCGCCTGCCCGCGTTGCCTGGGCACGCGCTTCGTTAAAATCTGCCTGCCTCGTGGCACCAATCCACGGCAGGAAGAAACAGATTCCAGGAAGCTTGGCCTCCATGCAAGAACGTATGATCATCACCAGGCATTTTCTGCCAACGTCAGCAATGATATTGCCACGTGAAAGGAGTGTAACCTGCCCGCTCCGTCATCAAAATTGTTCGTGCCACCAGATCCTGTGATATGCTTGGAGACAATAGTTTGTACAGCGGCCAACACCGACACCAAATGGAGCAGCGAAAAAAGAAGAATATGAACTTCACATCACCTTCACCACCCAACCGCTTGTTGACGTGTCCCTCACATGCACCGTCGATTGAGCCTCTAAAACCCTTACCATCGATCACGAGAGTTGTAAAACCTGAGTTGCAAAACCTCAGGAGGAGGATAGCGCTGTCAATAATCCTTGTCAAAATACACTGAGAACTAGAGCTGGTTATGAAATCAACAAACTCTAATGGGTGCTTCTTGAAATACGGTACCTTGTGCTAGGAGGTCACAGAAATTATTTCACCCTGATTGGAACCAACATACGCTTGGCCAATAAAAGTGCAGATGGCACAGAATTTTGTGAAGAATACGGGTTTCCCTGCAAAATGTACCGGTGGATGAAACTTCAGTCAAAATGTTTCATGCAAGCATTGTACTTGCAGGTTCTGAGTCCTGGGTTCTGATAGCGCTGCAGTAACACCAGAGGTGGCCTTGGATTCAGCAGTGGCATGAGCTGGACATTGACCTGTGAAACAAAAAGTCGGTTACATGGATTGGTACAGCTTCATAACTTGGGTTGTAAATTACAATCCAGCGCTGAGTTGAAATGTGCGTGGTTGAAGAACCTGACTTTGATAGTAGCCCTTGTCCCTGCAGATGCATTCCAATAGTGGAAGATGAGAGTATATGATACTTTAGTTTGAACATTGTCAGATTCGCAAGGTAGAACGTCATGAAAATAATGCTGACATTGTTGAAACTTCGTCAACTTGTAGCAAAATTGGTTATTGCTGGCCATGAGGAGTATCTAGCAAGAATAGAAGCCCCACGGAGCCTGCATTTGCATCAACAGTCAATGCCAAGACTAAGAAGTAAAAGAACGAGTGAATAACTGAAAGACAAAACAGGACGATTAGTCTAAGCAGGGGAAACGCACGCTATCACATGGAAGGAATGACGCTGGCTCCGTTACGGCATTGAAGAACCGAACAATCGCCTGTCATGGATCCCCCTGATCAACTTCACACACCCCAAAGCAAACTAAACAGGAGGTGAAGATTCGGGGTTATCCTCTGCCTTTACATGGGTCCAGCATTGCATGTGTGGAATGCGTGGGAAAGAAACAGTATGTATTCACTCAGGCAGGCCTACATAATAATCCCGCTGTATACACATTCAGTAAAGCGAAAGGTAGGTAACGACCAAACCACGCGCACCGTTGATAGACATTTGCTCTTCCGACAGCCGTAAAAGCCGCTTCGTCGTAGCAACGCCCCTCACGGCCACCACCTGCACTACTTTCTACTACCATAAGCTTTGTGCCTTGACGGTTCAGACGATGCTTACACTGGTTCTGTGAGAATGCGACCTGGAATCGACATTCGGAGGCAACTGGGAACATCATGCGAGCCATTGAGTATTCACTGCCTGAGTGAATACATATATCGAATGGCTTTGGGCGATGATGTGAAAGTCAGGAAGAATGTTGAAGTCCGACTGCAGTGAGGCGAGGATGGATTCCATTTGAATGTGATGGAATGGGATGGGATGCTCGGACTCCATTTCACGATTGGAACAAACAGAAGTCGAGGGTTCAAACCGATTCGGCACGGTCCCAGGAAATCAACAGCAGGTGAACACTGAATTTCAACACATATGGACAAATCTTCATATACATTTATCCATGACCATTCCATACCGGCACAAATATCAGACTTTCTAGAATACGTGATTTATGTTTGTTCCGTTCTATTAAATATTTTAATTCAACAATAAAACTAGACTGAGTGCCTCTGGTATGATTTTCTGTTAATACTTTCAGATTAGCCATGGAGTAAAATTCCAAGCCAGGGTTGTTTTGATAACCAGAAAGATTATGCACTGAATCACACAAACTTGTAACTGACTTCTTTTATCCATGTCTGCACTGTAGCTTTCGTTTCCTTGACAACCTGCGTAGATCACGGATTTCTGGGCCTGGTCTGAAGAACGCGCCTCCTCAAGGCGACTACTTCCAGCACAATTAGCATACGCGACACCACCTAGCTCATTACAAAGAAGCCCGTTCGTTGAATGTTCGCCGTCTTTTCGCCATTGTACCAACTCTTCCCCTCATATGTAAAGCGTGGTTGGAATCACAGCTCCTCTGCTCACAGGGGTTCCATTGCAATGGCATCCGTAGCGTGCGCTCCCACGCTTCACCGGCAGCACGACGCAGTAACGCTAGCTGCATTACCTCGCCTTCCCAGTGAGTTGCCACAGTTACTTGCCGAGCGTTCGTCTTTTGCGTGTCGCACGTGGTGCACTACGTTGCGTGCTTTGCAGAGCCTGATCCGATCTCCGCCAACGCTACGCTCCACCATATGCTCGTTTGCTCCAACAGCGTTCAACCCCCCTCACCCGCCCACTGATGCATTCACTCGCCGCGCTCGCGCGCTTTCCCCTCTCGCGGCGTATCCCTGTCGATTGTTTTCCACCTAGCGCCACCCATTCCTCCCCTTCATCACCTCACCAACCCGCTTCCGCTTCCCCCCTGCCCGCCCCCCCAACCCCCACCCTCCGCACTTCCTCCGCCTTCCCCCGCCACCGCGCACTCCGCACTCTCCGCGCTCCCCGTGGAACATTCCAACAGGGCGCACCACATTGGCCGTGTGCGCACATCGTGTATCCCAGTCGCCGCGCTCCGCACCGCTTCACAGGCGGAGCCCATGCGTGCAGGCGGGGCCGCTCGCGCGCTTGCGCGGAGAGAGACGGCGTTCAATGCGTGCGTGCGGCGCAGAGGCTGCAGGGGTGGCGGCGCAGACGACGCGGAGAAGACGCGCGGCTGATGGGGGGGAGGAGGACGAGCACGAGGAGGAGCACGAGGCAGCAGCGGAAGGAGAAGTCGAGAAGGACAAGAAGGAAGAGGTGAGAGCATTCAAGTACGCGCCAAAACAACCCAATCTCATGTGCCTTATCCCTCCTTCCACCAATCTTCACCCTCTTCCCTCCCAGCTCGCCTCAGCTATTTTCTCCTCGTTATCCCCCCCGTACGCCCTCTCACTCCTCTTGGTCCCCCCACCCCTCCAGCTCCCACTTCCAATCCCTATCCCCTCTCCCCCATCACCCTCCCCACCACCCACACGCGCCAGGCAGCATCACCACCGGCCGCGCCCTGTCTGCTAACCCTAGCAGAATCACCCACGGCCTTCACATTCCAAGCGCACCCGCACTCCGACGACCCGCAAGCCACGGCCTTCTGGCTCTCCTCTCTCCGCCCCGTGCCGCGCCTCACCGCATCGGTTCTCCTCTCAGACATCGAGTCGCGCGTCGCCACCATCCGCCGCAGACGGCCCCCCGTCACCGAGGCATCCCTTCACACCGTCGTCTTCTTCCTCGCTCTCGGCCTCACCCCCTCGCGCATACTTGACCTCTTCTCCCGTGTGCCCTCGCTTCTCAAGAGCCGCTGGGACCGGGATCTGCTGCCCAAGTTCCACTTGCTGTTGGCAGCCGGGGTAGACCTGCCGTCCATCTTCTCTGCTCTGAATTCCATTCCCAACTGGCTGCGTTGTGAGCCGCGGGGGCTGGCGGGCGTAGTGGGGTTTCTGCAGGCCATGGGCGTGCGGCGGGAGAAGATGAGCAGCATTGTGAGGCGCGCACCTGCTGTGCTGCAGTACGACGCGAATAACAACCTCTGGGCATGGGCTGAGGCGCTGTCTGGGCTGATCATGCAAGAGGAGACGGGCGATGGGTATGAGGAGGGGGGGGAGGAGAGCGAGGAGGAGTGGGGTGAGGGAGAGGGTGCGGTGGATGGGGAGGAAGTGGGGGTGGTGCAAGATTTATCAGGAGGAACAGCAGAGCTGCAAACGGCTGCTGATAAAGAAACGGAGCTAGTATTTCCTGCCAGTGCTAAAGAGACTGCAGCACGGGTTCCCGATGCACTCATAGAGCTAGCACCTACTTCTGCACCCGTCCAAGACGCAGTAGAACCAGAGAGCGAGCCAGTCACAGGTATCAAAGGCGAGGGCCCGGCGTCAATATCCCCCCAGCTGCAGGCAGCCATGGAGCGGCGTGTGTTCGGGCAGTTCATAGAGAAGTACCCGCGCATCATGTCCAACTCCGCGCCCTTCATCACCCACCGCGTGCGCCTGCTCTGCTCGCCCGCCTTCGGCCTGCGCCTGCCCAAGCTGCTGCGCAGCGCCAACCTGCTGGGTATCAAAGAGGAGAAGCTGAGAGCCGCTCTGGCGTTCCTGGAGCGGGAGGTGGCGTGGAGCAGCGCGGATCTGCGCATGATTGTGAATGCACAGCCGACTATCCTAGGGCTGGACCCGGAGAATCTTAAGGAGAAGGTGCTGTGTGTCACCAGACTGCTGGATGGGCCTGGTTATGCTGCTGGTGCTGTGGGCGGTGGTGGTGGCGGTGCTGGTGTGGGGAATGCAAGGGAACAACAAGCCCCATTACCAGCATCTTCAGCTGCACCAGCTGTGGCACCTTCACCAGCCGAAGCATCAGCAGCAGAATCAGCAACAGAACCAGCAGCAGCACCATCGTGGCACACACGTTCATCCATCTGTGGGCCAGCAGCACGAGACGCCTTCCACGTGTACCCGTCCCTGCTGGCCACCAGTGTGAGCACGTTAGAAGACACCTTCTCCCACTTCCAAGCCCGCTTTCCCCCTCATGCCGTGCGCTCCCTCCTCTCCACCTACCCCTACCTGCTCTCGCGCAAGTGGGAGCGCAATCTGGGCCCGAAACTGGACTATCTGGTGGAGGAAACAGGGCTGGATGCAAGTGAGGTGCTGCACTATCCGCTCTATTTCACGCACAGCCTCGAGCGGCGGATCAAACCCCGCATCGCAGCGTTTCAAGCAGCGGGGTATAGGCTGGTGTCTGCTGCAGGGGTGGCGCAGGGGGGAGGGGAGGAGGGGGAAGGGGACGGCGAGGGAGGGGAGGAGAAGGGCTGGGTGAGGAGCAGAGGGAGGCCTTCGAGAGCCAACAGCAGAGAGTGGATGCGGCATGGTGTGTTGTTGACGACCCTACTCCACTGCACAGATGCTGAATTTGTGAAGAAGTTTGGGGTTCGCCTAGCGGTGCGGAGGGATTAGATTAGGATAGGATGGCCGAGGAGGCAGACGGATTACTGGAAATGCATTATTTACGTAATCCCACCAGACTGGACTTGTATTACTGTGGAGTAGCCAGGGCTTAGCTTGAAAGACTATGCTAGGCGCAGCACATGTGATGCAGGCAGGAGGTACGACATTGCAGTTGGACTCCAGAGCAGCTTTGATTGAATTGAAACCAATAACCCTTCAATGGCATACCGCGTGCAGCGTGGACGCTTGGCCTAGCAGCAGCACGCTGGCTGATGATCAGGTAGCGTGGAAGTGAGGGCATACCACGTCACCCGCTTGTGACTTTAATTGAGTATCATACATGCAGGCTGGTAGCTTCTCAGCACCAAAATGTTTATCAATAAAAACACAGGTAGGTAGGTACAAACAGGCTATATACCGGAATGCAACCAAAACTTGTTCAGCAGAATCTAATGGGCCTGTTGATGGCCAATCAAAAGCGGCCACGCGTCAGACCAGGAACCCAGCGAGTCGTTTCTGTAGCTGCCAAGTCAACCAGTCACGCCACATGCAGGTGGGAAGTCAGATGACATGCGGCACACACAAGCAGCCACACTCACAGAAAATGGCATGCGGTGAGGCAGGTCTGAGAGTGTCGCACAAACAACGGAAATCACCCACTTGAGTGGATAGTTTGTGGAAGACTGGAGGGGGGTGTGAGAGATGAGGGAAATGTGGGGGCGGTGGTAGTGGAGGCGAGGGAGTTGAAGGGTGGATGTGGGGGGGGGGTGAGAGGGGGACGAGGAATCAGTGAGGGGAAAGTTGAGGTATTGGAGGGGGAAGGGGATGAGGGGTGAGTCGGAAAGCAGGGAACAGGGGTGGCGTGAGACAAGGGAAGTGAGGGTGGGGGTGAAGGAAGAGAACAAGAGAGGCAGCAGTGATATGAAGGGGGGGCTGGGGGGGTGAAGTTAGAGAGGGGAGAATGAGTGGAGAGAGGGGAAGCTGAGCGAAGAGCAGGGAATATGAGGGGAGAGCGGGGGGATGAGGGGGAGCGGGGGGGATGAGGGGAGAGCGGGGGAATGAGGGTAGAACGAGGGAAATGAAGGGAGAGCGGGGGAAACGAGGGGAGAGCGGGGAATATGAGCGGGTAGGGAGGCTGAGATATGCGTGACCTTTGTAGGCCGGGTCAAAATGGAGAGAAGCGGAAGCGCGGGAAGGGAGGAAAGGAGGGGGGGAAAGAGGGGGTGGGGGAGGGAGAGGAAAGGACGTTTCTAGGCTAGGTCACAGGGAGACAAGGGAGAGAAGGGAAAAGAGGTGGGAGAGAGGGCGGGGGGGAGACCTTTTTTCGCTAGGTCACGGGGGGGAAAGGGAGAGACAAAAAAGCGGGGAAATGGGAAGGGGGAGGGGAGATCAAAGGGCGGCCGCTTCGCCTTTTACCTTCCGCCAATCCTCTCCGTCATCAATCATATCCTTTCACTCGTGGACTCCTCCTTCTCTCCCTCCACCCACCTCCCGGCCTGTCTTAATCCCGTCTTGCGTCCAGGGTACCATCAACGCGCACTAGAATCTGGAAGATGAAGGGGAGAGCGGAAAGGGGCGGGGGAAGCGAAAGTGGCCGCTTCGCCCTTTCGCCAGTCCTCTCCATCCATTTCCCCATCTTCTCCCCTCCACTCACCTCCCGCCCTCTTTTTTCCAGTCTCGCGTCCAGCATACCGTCGACGCTGAGGTCGACGAGACGCGCTGTATAATCGACGAAATGCGCTACGTTACCGATGCGTCCGAATCGACGATACTAATTCGTCCAACGTCACGATTCCGACCGCATCACGTAAAAACAAACCAGGTTTAGATCGCGCAACTTCTTACCATTACTGCGACATCTGATCATATCTGATACAGTTAGCACGCCAACAGACACCTGAAGCGACTTACAGTAAGTACCACCGAGAAAGTGAGCAACACTTGCTACATCGTCAGAAAAAATCGCTGCCATGAAAGAGCTGTACTCAGATCGAGTCCGCGCTGGAGACTAAACAAGGGGAGCGGCGAAACTACGACTGAAAGCAGATTAGGTCGAGAAGTCACACCCTCGCTATTGCTTTCTGGACAATGGCGGGTGAGGGATTAGAGGTTGGCAGGTTCGGAAATTCGAGGTTTGGCTTGTTGATAATGCCGTGGTAGTTGTGCCAGGGTGTCAAAACCGCCCTTCATTCCCATTGGTTCAAGTAAATCTTTTCTCATCCACCCAATGTTTTTCCTGCTGCCCAGCCAGCCGAACTTTTCAGCACCACGCACGAATCCCACCACCAAATCGAAGCCGTCCCGCACCTCACGCCGAACTAAAAAAGGCACACCTGTGCTGTACGATTTCCCGCAAAAAAACTCGTGACCCAACTAAAGATAGTGCCACGTCAACCACCTCCTAGAAAGTTCGAGCCTGCCCTTCTGCACCAGTACGGTTAATATATCTCAGCGGACAAGCGAGTCCGCCCGGGGGAGCTCGCTGCCCGCGGGCAAAAAAATAAAACCCATCCGGGCATGCATCCGGTCAGGGAGGCATCAACCCTAAACACAGGGAGGCATGCCATCCTAGAGGGTTTTAGTTTTTTCCTGCAGGGGGCAGCATGTCGTCAGGTCGTCAACAGGTCGTCAGGCTTGACGACCCGTTTCCGCTGGGATATTCCGTTCAACAAACCTTCCCCAGCAGAAATACTCGCCCTTAGCAAACTCGTTTGCATACGGACAATCCAGACCAATATGCAAATGTCAGCCCAACTTTGAACTGTACAATGAATGTACAACATTGGTTGGGCTGGATGGATAAGGCGGGGATACATTTTGAGCCACCTCAACATGTTCACCACGCGCCCTCGGGGAATGTCCCCTGCCGCTAAGTCGGCGGGGGCATTCATTGGTCAATGAAAATAGCCACTCACACACCCCCATCCCATGCCATCGTCACCGTTGAGGGTGGCTACCCACACCATCCACCCATTCACAACACACTCCTCGGTTTGCTATCGCACCGCGCACCCAGCCTGGTGTCAGTGATTCCCTCCCGTCCCGGCAAAAAAGGATATCACAAACTCGTCAGACCGTACTGCACCCAGGTAAACCAGATTGAGCTATCACAATTGGTTCAAGCCGCGGTAGGATGCACCACGGCGGCTGAATTGCTGAACTGAATTCAGTCTTCCATTCAGCAGCAGCACGCTCATCCTTGTGTTTCAGGTTCTTCCTTTTGCCACCTCCCTGAGCATAACTATCCAAGTTGTGTCATTGTCGTCCGTTTTCTTCCTTCTCAACTCACTGAAGGATTCTTAGAAAGCTCCAACCTAATGAGCTTAGACTTCAGGCTACAAGCTCCAAGGAGCAATCTATGCTACCTGAAGCCGGTTACTAGTACACGGAGAAGCTTTTGGCATGCTGCGGCGCTGAGTTAGAGTAGAAGTCGGGTGGGTGGGTGGGTAGAGTCCGTAAGTGAGCGAGCTGCAGTGTGTCAAAGGCCGACCCGTGTACTACACCGAAAATCCGCGGCAACCTCTTTTACCGCGACAATTGCATAATCGGAAGATCTATATGGCGAGTCGTCTCCAAAGTAACTTCACGCCAGAAAACTTCCACGGCGGGATCTCCGCTCGAAGATCGCCACGGCATAAGAGCTTTAAAGTGTTTCATGGCGCTTCTTCTGCTGCCGCCGACTTGATCGCTGACGCAGCCACGTTTGCCTCCGGTTGAGACGGAGACGCAAGCTACGAGGTCTCCGCTCAAAGCTCGTCTCGGCAAGAGCTTCAAAGTGTTTCACGGCGCCTCTCGTCTTCCCAAGTCTTCACCAACACGATGAGGACCCACCTGGTAAGTGTAACCTCGATTTCGTTTTCATGATGTCTTCCTACAACCGTTTTTGTCTGGTTACGCTATGTATCGCCGTTTTTTCTGGATTTTTTCTAACTCTTTCTTTGTTTTCCTGCAGAGCATGGATTTGAAGTTGAAGTTCGCGGGTAGCTCTCAGGCTCAACCTGAAGCCGCTGGAACTAGCCGTCTCATCGCTGGCCTAAGGTGGTTCTAGTGCGGCCTCTTCCTCGTTGCTGCCAAGACAAGTCCTCAGCACATGAAGACGATCGACCGACCAACACGATTCCCAACACAAGAACTCGCCAACACACAAGTCAAGATCTTCTTCACCAACATGATGAGGACTCACCTGGATGGAGACGGTAAGTGTAATCTCGTTTTCGTTTTCCTCTTGTTTTGTCTTGTCCTCTGAATCGTTTCCCCAATTGTGTCATACGTGATTTCGCCGTTTTTACGTTTTTCTTCTGGATTTTTATCTAACTCTTTCTTTGTTTTCCTGCAGGCGATGGATCTGAGAATGGAGGACATAAAGTCTTGAGGTTGGCGCATCGAAGTTGGTGTTGGCGCACTCATCGCCGTTGGCGCTTCACGCATGAAAACCGTCGCAGCTCGAAAGTCGCGGACCTGAAAGGCCGGACGCCAACTGCCGTCGCGGACTTGTCGTCCAGGTTGGGACTGATACATCCAGTTTTTTCTTTAAACTCTACTGTCGCTTTCAGTGTCTGCCCTTCTTCATTTGCCGTCCGTACTGATCTTTTGCCTCCTTCATTTCAGACCTCCGCGACCGTCCCGGCGACCGTCTCGGCGACCGAAGATGGCCACTCGAAAGCGACGCAAGCGACAAGGCAGCAACGATCACCGACGCTTCATGGTGCTTCATGGTGTCCGCGTGGCGCCTTCCCTGCTGGTGCAACCTCTCCCATCTCCGGTGAAGTGGAGGTAAGTGCAGTTGCCGTTTCATCTACTCTTTTGTAATCTGTTTCACGTGATTCTTAACTCATTTCACGTTTTTTTCTGCAGACGAGCATCTTGCCGGAGGATACTTTCACGTTTCAAGTTTACTTGGATGACCTGAAGATGAAGCTCGCGGCCTTCCGCTCACGGTCGTCGCGGAGACGCGCGGAGATTCACCGGGATGCGGCAAGACGGTCGAGTGAAGGTAAGTGCTTATCCGTTTTAATCCGTTTTTCTACAGCTATTTGAATCTGTTTTTGAGCAACTATCTAACTTGTTTCACTCTTTCTTTTGCAGACGATCATTAGGCTGAAGGACTTGAAGCCTAATAATGACTGAAAGACATCTTGATCCTCTGAAGGACTCAAGTCTGAAGATGACTCTGACTTGGTCCTGTCGGAAGGACCTGAAGCCTCCAAGTCAAGATCGCTTCAAGCTCGTCGCGGCGCCTCCCCTGCGGCCTCCCCTGTCGCTCCGCCAATACAATGGAGGTAAGCCTTTAAGAGCCCTTCAATCGCTTTTCAAGTGCAGTCGTTTTCAATCGCTTTTCCTGCTTTTTTTCTGACGGCTTCTTGCCTTTTTCGTGCAGACGCCAGCGTCGCACGGTGACGCACGGATGGCGACGAATGCCGACGGATGGCGCTTGGCTTTGACCGTCGCAGAGCGGAAAGGCATGCAGTCGAATGGCGACGAATGATGACGGATGCCGGCAAATGCAGACGGATGCGACGAATGGCGACGAATGGCGACCAATGGCGACGCATGGGGACGGATGACGGCGGATGCAGACGGATGGCGACGAATGGCGACGAATGACGACGGATGGCGACGAATGGCGACGCATGGGGACGGATGCCGGCGGATGCAGACGGATGGCGACGAATGGCGACAAATGACGACGGATGGCGACGCTTGGGGACGGATGTCGGCGGATGCGAACGGATGGCGCTTGGCTTCGACCGTCGCAGATCGTTCAGCGCCGGGACTTCAAGCTATGCCGACTCCCTCACATGGTAAGGTGCAGTTTCAATTTCCATTCCATTTTTTTCCCGGATTCTAACTTTATTCTTTGTTTCCTCTCTTAGCGCAGGACCAGGGAAGCGGGAGCGGCGCTGGCGGCAACGGGAGTTCAAGCTACGCCGACTCCCTCACAAGGTAAGGTGCAGTTTCCATTTCGATTCGCTTATTTTCCCGGATTCTAACTTTTTTCTTTGTTGTTTTTCTCTAAGCGCAGGACCAGGGGAGCGGGAGCGGCGCTGGCGGCAACGGGAGTTCAAGCTACGTCGACTCCCTCACAAGGTAAGGTGCAGTTTCCATTTCGATTAGTTTTTTTCCCGGATTCTAACTTTATTCTTTGTTGTTTTTCTCTAAGCGCAGGACCACGGGAGCGGGAGCGGCGCTGGCGGCAACGGGACTTCAAGCTACGCCGACTCCCTCACGAGGTAAGGTGCAGTTTCCATTTCGATTCGCTTATTTTTCCGGATTCTAACTTTATTCTTTGTTGTTTTTCTCTAAGCGCAGGACCACGGGAGCGGGAGCGGCGCTGGCGGCAACGGGACTTCAAGCTACGCCGACTCCCTCACGAGGTAAGGTGCAGTTTCCATTTCGATTCGCTTATTTTCCCGGATTCTAACTTCATTCTTTGTTGTTTTTCTCTAAGCGCAGGACCAGGGGAGCGGGAGCGGCGCTGGCGGCAACGGGACTTCAAGCTACGCCGACTCCCTCACAAGGTAAGGTGCAGTTTCCATTTCCATTCGCTTATTTTCCCGGATTCTCACTTTATTCTTTGTTGTTTTTCTCTAAGCGCAGGACCACGGGAGTGGGAGCGGCGCTGGCGGCAACGGGACTTCAAGCTACGCCGACTCCCTCACAAGGTAAGGTGCAGTTTCCATTTCGATTAGT